CACTAGAAACCCACCGATCATACTCGTGGGTATGTTGTGACTGTGGTATACCCAACTTTGCATCGGCCATATTCGATATCACTGATGAAACATTCCATTCAGTAAACTCATTTGACACGCTGCGTTCTGACTCAAGTTTACCAGACGAAATCCCAATGGCTACATCCACTCCACTTAAATCAAAGCAGGGTAATTCTCAAACGAGGGGTCATAGTCACAAGAGACACAAGAGATCCAAAAGTAAACTTCTCCTAGTAAACTGTCAGAGTGTGCGGAACAAAACAGCTGAACTGGCGACAGTAGTTGACACTTACAAGCCAGATATAGTAGCAGGTACAGAGTCATGGCTCAACCAAAACATAGCAAGTAGTGAAATATTCCCCAGCAACTACATAGCACACCGGAAAGACAGACAAACTGGCCAAGGAGGTGGTGTATTTCAGGCCAACAGAGATGATCTAATTGTTACCCATAGGCCAGACCTTGACACAGACTGTGAGGTTCTGTGGACACAAACTCAACTTGCAGGAAGGAAACCACTGATAATAGGTACATACTACAGACCCCCATCAGACCAGGGCAATAGTCTGGATGAACTTGACAGGTCTATAGGTAAAATGGGAGCAAAAATAAACTCTGACAATGTGATCATTCTTGGCAATTTCAACACCCCTGGCATCAAATGGGATACTACTGTAGCTGACAACAGTCAGGCCTACACAGGCCAAGCAGAGAAACTACTAAACCTAATGGATAACCACGGTTATTCAAACAGTCCAGGAACCAACTAGAAATGGTAATCTCTTGGACCTGGTCTTAGTTAATAACCCCAACATAATTGAGAAGACCACAGTAGTCCCGGGGATAAGTGACCACGACATGGTTCTAGTGGACGTTAACCTGGCACTGAAACAAAACAGGAAACCTAAGAGAAAAGTGTACATCCGCACAAAAGCCGACGAACCAGCCATTAAGGAAGACCTAACGGATTATGCAACTAACTTTCACAAAAGAACTCAGGATATGTCAGTTACACAGAGACAAAAGACAAAATGAAAGACACGATGAACAAGCACATCCCAAGTAAGATAACATCAAGCAGATACAACTTGCCTTGGTTCAACAGAAACCTAAGGAGGCACTGTCGTAAGAAGCAGCGGCTCTATAACAAAGCTAAGAAAACAGGCCAAGAGGAAGACTGGAACAAATATAAGAGAGTTAAGAAGGGAGTTCAGAAAAGCATAAGACAAGCACACTCTAAATACGTGGCAGACATACTGGGAGAAGCTATAGTTGACAAACCCAAAACATTCTGGTCGTACATAAAAGGACTGAGGAAAGACCTTGTCGGGGTAGCACCCCTAAAGGTGGGAAATACCATCATCAGTGACAGTGGGAAAAAATCAGAAGTACTCAGTTCACAGTTCAAAAGTGTTTTCACAGAGGAAGACACCACAGATATGCCATCTCTAGGTCAGCCCTGTACTCCTCCAATGGAACATATAGTAGTTTCTACTGATGGTGTAGAAAAAATGCTTCAAGGTCTCAATCCCTCTAAAGCATCCGGACCAGACCAAATACCACCGTGGTTCCTCAAGTTGACAGCTAGTGAAATCGCGCCTGTTCTAACCAATATTTTCCAACACTCGCTAAACACTGCAGAAATCCCTAAAGATTGGAGGGATGCAAATATATGCGCCATCTTTAAAAAAGGAGATAGAGCGGTCCCCAGCAACTACAGACCTGTTTCACTGACCTGCATATCCTGCAAACTACTTGAACATATCATCCATAGCCAAATCATGAAGCACCTAGAAAGTTACAGTATATTAACGGATTACCAGCATGGATTCAGAGCCAAACGATCCACAGAAACACAGCTTATACTAACAGTCCATGACATAGCTGGCGCACTAACAGTAAACGGCAGGTAGATTTAGC